TTGATTGTTCTTTGGATTGGCCAGGCTGTGTTTGCGGAGGCTGTGTTTTTCACGTATCTTGCCTGTAAGTCTTTCCAGAAGCTCTCCTCTGGGAGGCTTGAAGCTAACGTTGTACCGCAGCATGGTTTTCTGTTCGATCTCGAGCTCTCGGGTCCTTCCTTTCCGGCATCGTGGCCGTGATTTCCGGTAATCTTCTCGGAGTAAGTAGCTCTCGCAAGCTCGTAGCTAGAAATGAGAGACGGTCACTGACGATGCTGGCAGCACTGGCTTGATCGCGCAAAAGTGTCACTCAAGCTCCGCACGAGGTCGACCTTCTGGACTCTCGTCGTCACTCAGGGCGCGTGGTGGCTCTGGGCGACCATCCTCGCGACGCGGTTCCGCCAGACCCGCCCTGTCCACGACTGGGCCAGCCCTGGCTTCGGAGCCGCCTTTGCGGTCTACATCTTCCTCACGATCGGATTCCAGATCAACTATCTCTTCCTGTACGTCAAATCCTTCGTGGAACTAATCTCACGTCGTGCTCGCCGAGACTTTTGAAACTAACATAGACAAACAGGTACTTCATCGTCACAAACCTGGCCGAAGGCGAAGAGGAAGTCATCCGCTACGCCGCCCTGCTCCGCGGAGTCGAGTCGGCGTGGCAGGCCGTCAGCTACGGCCTCACATCAATCACCCTCTTTGGCGAGGTCGGCGCAATCTACCTCAATTTTGCGCTGTGGGCCGTGGCCATCGGGCCCGCGTGGCTGGTCCTGAGACACTTTGGCTCCGGGCTGTCGGCGCACGTGGAGGAGGTGCGCGAGGTGAGCGGCGTGGTGTCTAGCGAGGATGGCGAATCGGACGTGAAGCACTAGACAGTACCTTAAACGGTGGGATAGAGTGCGAGTCGGCGTTGGTGATACCCGAATTGCTGGGACGCGTTGCCGGCTGGGGTGGATAACTCCTCTCAGCTTGATGCCGATCGTCGAGACTGGGGTTGCGATATTGCTATGGAGATTAATAATTCCCTGTTTCTCCGCGCCAGACAATCTCTGTATGAACCTTAATTAAATGCTCTTTCCGAACATCTGTGTCATGTGTTGATGTACTGCCAATGAGGTGATCACGAAGCCGAAATCATCGTGAGACCGATACTCAGGTCAATTGGCGAATGAAAGCTCTACAGAGACAATCAATCCCGCGCTTCGAACTGCCCCTCATAGAGTGATCTGCAGTACTGTATCACTGCTGCCAAAATTTGCGGATATCAACCATCCGCCAATCTGTCGCGCGGTAATCTGCAACTCTCTGGTTGGGCCATGTCATCGGAGCTAACATGACGTGATAACCTCATCTCGGAAACCTTGAACCCCACGACCTGCGGTTGCCGGCGGGAGCCGCTGTATCTCCTCTTCAGCCAAGGGCATCTTGGCCCCGCGAATTACAGCTTAACCGCCTTTTGCAGCCTAAAGAGCTAAATGCCTTTACACGGAGCTTTTCAGGAGCCATCATTCGGAGGCCCAGGCGAGCTAACGAACAGGAGCTTCCCTGGAAACAATCAGGAAGGCGGAGTGCAGGGGTTGTCGGCATTGGCGTGGGGTCCGCCCATGGCCCGTTTGTGCGTCGTCGTGCGTCTTGCGCCACCGAGCCGTCCGGTGGCATCATCGCCCCGGCTCCACGGTGCCGGACCCACGCCGAGTATCGGGAGGGGCAATTTGGGGTAAACTTCGACATGTTCTGTGTAAGGCCATCGCCGGGGGGGGTGTCTCCAAAGGGGACGTCACGTCGTTCGACGCGAACCCCTCCATGTTACCCCGCGGTGGCCGAGGTTTCGCTAAATGATTGTAGTAATAGTCTGGAAAAAGTTTTGTTGTATTTCGTTGTCGCAAAAAGCCAGAAACTTCTTCCCTTTTGGAACCTTTCTCATAAGCACGATCGATTCTCGCGAACTTAGAGACTCCCAAGTACTTCAGAAGTAAGAAAGACGAAGAAAACATGACCGACACGACGGGAAGCGCAAAGCCGAAGAAGAGCCTCGTGCTCAATGCCTTCGTTGAGATGTGTATGGCATCCAGGTTTCGCCGCAGACTCTCGCATTGAAGCTTACAGTTCCCGTGTAGGCAGTGGACACCAGTCCCCCGGACTCTGGAGGCATCCCGAAGACGAGTCGTGGCGCTTCAACGAAATCAGCCATTGGGTTGAGTTGGCTAAGCTGCTCGAGGAGGCCAAGTTCCACGGCATCTTCATCGCCGATGTTCTTGGTGAGTTTGACTTGTCGTTCAGGATATCGAAATTGGAAGATCAGCTAACACAAAGCAGGCGGCTACGATGTCTACTCGCAGTCCCTCGACCCCGCAAAGGTTTCCGGTGCCCAATGGCCCGTCAACGAGCCATTGGCCCCCGTGGCTGCCATGGCTGCGGTAACGAAGAACATTGGCTTCGGCGTGACGGTATCGACGACATATGAGCAGCCATACCACCTTGCAAGGCGTTTATCGACTCTTGATCACCTCACGGGCGGTCGGTAAGTAGCCCAAGGACCGGTCACGAAGGTCCCTTGCTAATAGTATCATAGTCTTGGTTGGAATGTCAGTCTCCAGGCAGAACCTTTTGAGGAAGCGCAGACTGACCAGCATAGATCGTGACGAGCTACCTGGATTCGGCAGCAAAGAACATGGGTCTCACCCAGCAGCCCCAGGTAAGATAACGCGAAGCCATCCCACGATCCGGGCACTGCTAACAGGGGCAGCACGACGACCGATACGCGCAAGCCGAGGAGTACATCAAGGTCATGTACAAGCTCTTCGAGTCCTCATGGAGAGACGACGCCGTCAAGCTCGACCGCAAGTCAGGCATCTACACCCAGCCTGACCTCGTCCGCAAGATCGACCACAACGGGCGCTTCTTCACCGTCCCCGGCCCGCACATCGTCCAACCCAGTCCGCAACGCACCCCTCTCCTCCTGCAAGCCGGAACCTCCAAGGCCGGCAAACAATTCGCGGCGCAGCACGCCGAAGCCATCTTCGTTTCGGCGCACGCGCCCGCCGTGTGCGCAAAGAACATTGCCGAGATCCGGGAGCTCGCGCGGACGCAGTACGGCCGTGACGGTAAGGATATCAAGGTGCTCGCGCTCGTGACGCCTATCCTGGGCGCTACGGAGGAGGAGGCGCAGGCGAAGCTGGCGGATTACCGCAAGTACGCCTCGCACGAGGGCGCGCTGGCGCTGTTCGGTGGCTGGACGGGCATCGATTTGAGCAAGTATGGTGACGAGGAGGAGCTGCGGCAGGTAGAGAGCAATGCTGTCAAGTCGACTGTTGAGGGGTACGCGCGGTTCTCGCCGGGTACGTCAAAGTGGACGAAGCATACTATTGCCGAGCACGTCAGCATTGGTGGCAACGGGCCCATTTTTGTCGGTACGGCTTCGCAGGTTGCTGATGGGCTTGAGACGTGGATTGAGGAGGCGGATGTTGATGGATTCAACTTTGTAAGTGCCCATGCCGTTTTGTTGGTGGGAGATGATGATGCTGACTATTTATGCTAGGCGTACGCGCTCTTCCCACAGTCCTTCAAGGACATTATCGATCTTCTTCTGCCGGAGCTGCGTCGTCGCGGTCTCTTCTGGGACGACTACGCGGTTCCCGGTGGAACGTACAGAGAGAACTTTTACCGCAAGCAGGGCCAGTCGGGACCGCTGGATGAGCACGTCGCGGCGTCATACAGGTGGAAGGCGGGAGTTTCGGCTGAAGAGGCCAAGATTCCGGAATAAATGGTTAGGGCACGTCGTGATGTGGATGCATGTACCTAGGCTTTGCCGAAACTCGTCGAGGATGGGCAAGAAAAGTAAAAAGAGATGAAACGAAGCTATTCCCAACTTTCGAGACCTTGCAAATGACGGGTCTCCTTCCTCTTTGAGTCTTGAAGATGCGAGAGCGTGGGAAGGGCAATTCCTGGAGCCAGACACACCTTACGTAAGGTAGGTACGTAGCACGAAATGGAGCCAGATCGACCGGGAAGACGTGGATCTGCCTCAACGAATGAGACGACGCAGCGCAGTCTTAAGGCCGAGATTCGTCCGGCCGAGCTGTGCCGAAGGTTGAGCTCGCATCTACGGAAGTTTAAGAAAATACTCCAGTTTATTTTTGTCGCTGGCATCTCGGGAACCGCCTCGACGGTGGGGGCTTTGGTCCATCTAGGTACTCGAAGCTTAGGGACATGAGGTTTAAAACATCTATGAAAGACCACTAGAGAATGCAAACATCGCGCGCATCAACAGACAATAAAAAAAATAGTGGAAAATCTCCTGACTGAACCTCAGCCCAGATTTGCTTGGAAAACAGCGGAATCCGCGAGACTTGATTGGTCAATGGCTGTTGACTCTCGGCTCAAACCGAAAGGATGCGCGGTGAGGTACCTGAAATTAAGCCCTACAGGCTGCCAACAGCAGACTACTCAGGCACATTGCGAGCCTTACAAAGTACCTGGCGACAGGCGAAAGAGACAAGAAGGTTTCTCGCTCTAGCGGCGGGCATGCGGCTGCGTCCTTGAGGATGTTACCGACTGTTACCGAGCCGCAAACCCTCAATGAACCAATCATACTCTCCAATTTGATGACATAATACTTCATGGGGCCCTCTCTACCTCTCAGAAAGCTTGGAGCTATCTTGGAGCTCCCTGGTCTCCAAGGGTTGGTGCTGCGTCATTCCCCACCGAGGGGCTCAAGGAGTGACCTGATCTTTTTTCCCATACCTTGACTCTTGACTCTTGGTCTTTTCTCCTGAGTCCAGAACTGAATGGAGACGCGCTCTTTCCATCGGAACCAAACAAAACTGACAGTATAAAGTCTCGCCGGCGCCCACTTTCTGCCCCAGAGCCACCCCGTTCTCCGTACCTTCCTCTCCTTGTTGTCGTCGTAGGCCAGGCTTCGAATCTCCGTCCTCTCCTCTCTCCCCTCCTTTCCACGGGCATTGACCCTCTGTGAACCTCTCCACTCCTCACTTTCATTTGCGTGATCACCTCTCGCGATCATGGCGTCTCCTATTGCTTCCGCCGCTCTGCGGGCTCGCGTCAAGCGTCCCTCGATGCTCAAGAAGCTCACCAAGCCCCAAGATCTCCTGCAGCACTTTCCCAATGGCGCCTACATCGGCTGGTCCGGCTTCACTGGCGTCGGGTACCCCAAGAAGATGCCCACCTACTTGGCGGACCACGTCGAGCAGAACTCGTAAGGACCTCTAGAGGTGCTACTAGATCTGGTTCCATTAAGCTAATATGTATCGTTCCCGTCGAATAGTCTTCAGGGCCAGCTCAAGTACAGCCTGTTTGTCGGTGCCTCCTCCGGCGCCGAGACCGAGAACCGCTGGGCCAGCTTGGATATGATCAATCGCCGAGCCCCCCATCAGGTCGGCAAGGCCATCTCCAAGGGCATCAACGAGGGCAGGATTCACTTCTTCGACAAGCACCTGTCGCAGTTCCCCGTCGACCTCGTATACGGCTTCTATACCAAGGACCGCCCAAACAAGAACCTTGACGTTGTCGTAGTCGAGGCCACAGAGATCAAGGAGGATGGCAGCATCGTTCCTGGTGCGTCTGTCGGAGCGACCCCTGAGCTCGTGCAGATGGCCGACAAGATCATCATCGAGGTCAACACCGCGCTGCCCAACTTTGACGGTCTCCACGACATCACCATGACCGACGTGCCCCCGCGCCGCAAGCCCTACCTCATCACCAGCGTCGAGGATCGCATCGGAACGAACTCTATCCCCATTGACCCCGAGAAGGTCGTTGGCATCATCGAGTCCGACTACATGGATCAGACCGGCCCCAACGCCCCCGAAGACGACGGCTCCAGAGCTATCGCCAGACATCTGATCGAGTACTTCGAGCACGAGGTTAAGCACGGCCGTCTTCCCAAGAGCCTGCTCCCCCTGCAGTCCGGTATCGGCAACATTGCCAACGCCGTCGTTGGAGGCCTCAAGGACAGCAACTTTGAAAACCTCAAGGTGTGGACCGAGGTCATCCAGGATACCTTCCTCGACCTCTTTGACTCGGGCAAGCTCGAATTTGCGACAGCCACCTCGGTGCGCTTTTCCCCCGACGGCTTCAAGCGCTTCTACGACAACTGGGAGAGCTACCACAACAAGCTCCTCCTCCGCAACCAGCAGGTCTCCAACTCCCCCGAGATCATTCGCCGCCTCGGCGTCATTGGCATGAACACCCCTGTCGAGGTTGACATTTACGCCCACGCCAACAGCACGTGCGTCATGGGCTCCCGCATGCTCAACGGTATGGGCGGTAGCGGCGATTTCCTCCGCAACGCAAAGTACAGCATCATGCACACTCCCTCGACGCGCCCTTCCAAAACAGACCCCCACGGAGTCAGCTGTATCGTCCCAATGTGCACGCACATTGACCAGACCGAGGCGGACATTGACGTCATTGTCACTGAGCAAGGCCTCGCTGACGTTCGTGGGCTGAGTCCCCGCGAGCGTGCGCGCGTCATCATCAAGAAGTGCGCCCACCCGGTCTACCAGCCCATCCTCCTCGACTACTTCGAGAAGGCCGAGTTTGAGTGCTTGCGCAAGGGCATGGGCCACGAGCCTCATCTGCTCTTCAACTCCTTTGATCTCCACAAGGCACTGGTTGAGGAGGGTAGTATGCAGAAGGTCAAGAGCTTCAAATGAACAGGCCAGCATTGCCCGACGCCACCGTCAAGGAACAAGACCTAAAACCGTTTAGAGCTCCCTGAAAAAGGCATTGTTGAATTTGCTTGCATTGGTGTATTGGTGCATTCGCAGGGCAGGCCTGCGATTTCGGAGCATTGATAGAATACTTAGTCCCTTCTTCTTTTTTGTTGATAGAGAAATGATACCTCGCTGGATAATGGAGCATTCACATTATTTGCCAAGCATTGGCAGTGGATACCGCATGCTGTCAAAGGTGAAGATCAATCTCGACCTACATAAGATACCACGCAGCGCCGGCGCGCCGGAGATATCATTCGGCGGGAACAAACCTCGGCCGCCCGACCGCCGACCCGGAACCCCGATAGTCTCGGCCCGTACAAACTTCCAACTCGAAGGTGAAATCTTCAACCCCCGGCCCCTTCATCTCCGACTACGCTCAACAACCTCCTCCAACGCATCAACCGCCTCCCCAGGCCCATCCCCATGCCCGCCAAAATCCACGCTCACCCTCTCGGCCGCACTCCGGAACTTTTCGTCGTCGATGACCCGCTCCACCGCGCGCCTCAACACATTTTCACTTGGCGCGTCGGTCGCGAGATCGATCCCGGCGCCGCTCCACGCCACCCGCGAGCTCACGTCGGCCTTATCCTCGCTCCGACCCGCGCAGACTAACGGTACGCCGAAGCGCAGCGCCGCGAGAACGCCGTTGTAGCCTGCGTTGGTGACCATTACGCCCACGTGCGGGAGGAGGCGGGCGTGGGGGATGAAGGTGGCTACGCGGGCGTTTGACGGGAGGGAGGGGGAGGATGCTGGGAGGTGAGTCTCTGCGTTTGGGGTTGTGGCGATGACGAGGAGGTCTGGGCGGTGGGCGAGGGCGGCGAGGGTTGGTGTGATGAGGTTTGCGGCGTTTGTTGCGTAGGTGCCTTGTGTTACGTGGATTACCTTTTCCCGCGGGTGAGCGAGCATCTCATCCCACCATTTAGGCAGAGGCTCGAGCTCTTCTTCGTTGAAGAGCGGGAGGAGCGGTCCGACGAATTTCACGGCTGGGTGGAGGTTCTTGCGCGGGAATTCGAAGGCTGGCGTCGTGGGCATGATGTGTAGAACATCCGACCTCGTGGAATCGTAGAACCCCGACGCCGGCAAGGGCGGAAGACCGAGCTCTTCGCGGTGGGCGTTGAGCGCGGCCGTGAGTTTCGGGTAGAGAAGCCAGCTCGCGGCGGCGTGCGCGAGGGCGTTGAGCCACCGGCCGAAGAGGGTCGCCGGGGGCGCCCAGCCGGTACCCCACGGCGGGACCTCCGGGTCGAGAGTGACAAGCGGGTTGATACCCAGCGTCGCGTACGGTAAGCCCGTGAGGTCACGGAGGCAGTGTGCGCCGTAGGCGCAGAGGTCTACAAGTAGGATATCCGCCTTGAACGCCGACGTTCCGTCGGAGCCGTCGAGGACGGCGCGGTAGGCTGCGACTTGGTCTGGTACCCTGTCGAGAAACAGCTTCCGGAGGGTGGAGGCTACGGCGGCAAGGCCAGAGGTCTCCGGGTCCGGTGCGAGGGCGGTCTCGTCGTGCGCGGCGAGCGGGGGCGGGGAGGGGATGAAGAGTGCGCCGGTTTGCGGGATCATGTGGGCGTGGGAGGCGGATGTGAGCCAGGCTACGGTGTGGCCTCTGCGGGCGAGGGCGAGGGCGATGGGTTGCATTGGGTGGATGTGGCCTGCGAAGGGCATCGTTGCGATGAGGACCTTCATCTCAGTTTGAGTTACCGGAGGTCATTCGGAGAGAGTTTGTGCTCGGTGCGGGTAGGATCGTTGGTTGAAGGCGTCCTAGATGGAAAGAGTGATGATTCTGTAACTGATTAGCATTTCTTGTATCACTATCCACTAGGTGCTCTGAAGTGAGATGCGATGATGTGAGAGTGATGCCCCCCCCTTGCCGCACTATGTAATCTCACTCGGGCGCGGATGCCCCGGTCGGTTAGTGTAGGATCGCATGTTAATTTAAGGTTAAATGAGACGTTGTGATGCCCGTCTCTTAGGCTCTCAGTATAACGATTTGAACGAAACATCTTCTCCCAAAGAGTTCGATTGAGATAAAATATCTGTCTAGCTGTGGTTGAGTCTCGTAGTCTTGGAAGTTCAAAAAATCATGATATCCATGACTCTGTCACCGAAGTGACCAAAGTTCACTGCTCCGACCAAAGCTATGCGGGGCTTTGGGCGAGACTTCCCGCGGATCTTGAGGTGAAGAAACACCGTGTTGACTCCCGCTGCTTGGATATCCTGTCAAAGCCAGTAAGACATCGAATATTCGAGGCTGGGAAAAGTGACAAGTTCAACATTTACAGAGTCCTGATCTGCCAATAGGCTTCATCAGCAGCTGTACCTCTGCTCCAAATTTTCTCCAAAGGCTATACAAGCCTTCTCATTGCTCTCAAGTCCGCGGGCGCGAAGGACGATCGGCGCCCATATTCCACGTCGTAAGTAATGTTACCACCCTGGGTATTCAACAAAGTCTTCTCGTTGTACAGTTCATGTCAAAGGAACTCAGAAACATATCCGTACAGCCGTCATGATCACTGCAGGATATGGACCCACTCCAATTTCAACCAATTGTGTAGATCGAGAATGTCACCAGTCCTCATACCAAAATGGTCCTGCATCTTCTCCAAGCGTTACTCAACCCCTAGCATATACATTCTTGCCAAAAAGCCGTGCCACGGTTCCTAGGCACCATGGTCATTATCAAATGTACCTTCTGCTTCCCCCAAATCGAATTATGCTTGTAGAATCGTGCAGTTAGCTGCTGACAGGGCAAAAAGTCCGCTATGACCGATCGGCGTTAGCTGCCTAGATTGACGTGGTCACAGAAACCGGGAAGGATTCGACATTTCAGGACAGATCTTTCTCTCTGTCGACAACATCGCCAGTCCGAGCACTACAGAATCGTGGCCTTTCGTGAACTGGAACGGCATATAACGCGGCACTTCCTCGTGCCGTAATCTCACAATTCTCGAATCTTGTCCGAACCATGTTTGCAGACTGGATGCAAAGCCAATGTTTAGTCAACTTTGTTAGCCAGCTATCGAAATAATGCAACCATTTCCCCGCGGTTTACTCTTCTTCTCCCTCCTCGTACTCGCTGCTGCCAGATGCCCAACATACATCGACACCGTAGTTCCATCAGGGCAAACCCGTCGCTATGGCAATCGCGAGCCCGGCGACCTAATCCTGGCAACCATGCACGACGTCCACAAAACCCTCTCAAATTGCGACTCCATCAAAAGCCTCAAACTCCGCGTCACCAGCCTAGGGTGCTCTGAACATCCTGACCGCTGGAACTTCCCACTCGACCTAGCGTCTGGGTCCACATACACATACCCCTCAGAGCTGGAGTCACTAGACCTGGAGGGCTATCATTTTGGCGATCGGATATGGGACGAGATCCAGGAGCCGCCGTTTCGAACAGGTTCCAAGTTTTGGGATAGGATGGAGTGGATTGGCTCCGGTAGAGCCTGGAAGTGGTTGAGGTATCTCCCGTTATCCGCGGAGCAAAAGATCAAGACGAATCTGGACTTGTGGCTGGATGCCATGGATTTCGGGAGCATCAAGAATCTTACCCTGAGGCCCAGGATCGACGAGTATCCTGACGTTGCGAAGCTGGTCCCACACTTGAAGTCACTTCAGTCGTTGAAGGTCTATGGCGCCTGGGCAAAAGACCTCATCTTGGGGGTACCTGAGAACTCGTTGACACATCTGTCGTGGATATTCAGCCACGAGACCGGCGCTTCCGCGTTGCCCATCATACGACACCATGCGCAGTCTCTAACAAGCCTCGAATGGCGCGAGGCGGAAAGCGGGACTCGGCAGCGGCGGGTGATGACGGCGGAAGAAATCGCAGAACTCGGCCGCATGGCGCCGAACTTGGAGAGCATTACCCTCGACATCAACCGCAATGGGACATGGCCGATGGAGCACTTTGACGCGCTGGTGACCAACTTCCCAAAATTGACCAACATTACAATCTTCTTGGAGTTTGCGAGCGAGTGCCGGCGACAGCTGGGTGCCTCCACGGAGGGGATCTATGGCTACGAGCAATGGAAGATGGGCGAGGCGTCGGATTGCAGCAGCGGAGTAGAGTCCATGGCCCAGCCGCCGCTCGAGCTTAAACCGGCCATGCAGCTGTGGGGACACTTGCGGGAGAAGAAAGTCGGCGATCTGTTGAAAAAGGTCGTTTTCTACGTGGGTGACTGGGAGAGGCCGTGGGATGGGCCGTTGGCTGAGAACGAATGGCTCGAGGGTAGGAGATCATTCTTCTGGTGTGAGGCTTCGGACAACCCGCCGAAAAGATATAATGGAGGGTGTGTGGGGCTGATAGCGGATGTTCCTACGAGGCGTAGTTCCTCTGGATATGATGAAGACGGATGGGATGCTCCGGGTTGGCAAAGCGATTTGGCTCGGCGAGCCATGCGGATGGAGCTTTGAAGTGGAGGACTCTTGAAGATAAAGCGGAATAATCAAGATGGTGTTTCGTGTGATCCAGATGTTGCCTCTCCCTCCGCGCGAGCGTCCCTGTCCATGAGCTCTCTGACCCAACTCCCGATGCCAACGGAGACGCAGACGGTACTCCATCTAGGCCCGTCACCGAAGCACACAAAGTTCTGAGACAGCCAGCCCACAAGCCCCTGCATCATCTCCCCATCAGAGGACGTCCCCTTTCCCTCCGCAACATCCTGCATCCTCACAGCCTGATCAGTCGTAATCTGGCTGAGAATGTTCCCCGCAACCTCCTGCGGCGTCTTCCAGTACCTGCTCGGCCTCCCCTTCTTCTCGCACTCATCGCCAGCAAGCTGGTAGACCTGCGTGCAGGTACGCTCGGCGAACTGGTCCGAGAGCTTGCGGAACATGTACCCCTTGTTCTTGTAGTCCATCCTCGCCTGGGCGAGCGATAGGAGATACCTGCGGTCGGTGAGATGCTCGGAGTGGCTGAACACGCGGTCCAGGGCTTTGATTGCGGGAGGCGAGGGGCGGGCGTCCCAGAGGTCGACGGTGTAGTTCATGGTGGACCAGAAGATGCAGCCGGCGAGGGTGTGCATGCCCGGGCCGAGGTAGGGGACGATGTCGAGCGGTGGTTCGAGGATGCGGATGAGGCGGTCTGTGTCTACCCAGAGGCCGTAGTCTAGACGGGGGCTTGATCTGCCGCTGGCACGGAGGCGCCGTTCTGATGTCGATGATGGGTCTTTTAGCACTATAGAGGACTGGGTTGTTGCTGGTGGCGGCGGTGGTGGTGTCCGGGATAGATTATCGGGTGGTGATTGCGATGGTCCTAATTCCTCAACATCGTGATCGTCGACGTCATTCATGGCATCATCTTCAGTGATGTTGGCGAGTTCTCGTGCGCGACGGAGTGCGGCTCTCAGATCATTTGAAGCGTGCTGTCCCTTGAGAGCACTACTGATCTCGGCTATGACATCCCTGAGATTTCTATTCTCCTCTTCGAGCTTCTGAACCTTGGAAGCATGTCGCTTGCGGTACTCGCGCTGAGCAATGACACCGCGCTCACGACGCCGGACCTGGGTCGAGTTAGCGAATCATGTCTATAGCCTGGGCGGATAGCTAATGGGTTACATTACCTCGGCGTCGGCTGGACTCATTCCTTTTTTTTTTCTTTTTTTGGTACGGTCTCGTTAAGGGTGTCAGTCGTTAAAGCAAGTGACCGGGCTCAACCATGGGCCGAGTCAACGTTATCTCGGATGAGAAATGTCATGGGTGGTTTTGTCTTTGTTGGCGTCGAGAAAGGATTAATCAGCGAGAACTGGGACAGGGCGCATCGTGTCAGCATATGGCGCGGGGCCCACTCCGGCCGCTGGTCCATAACGTTATCTGTCCGACTCGGCCCAGCGCCCGGCCCCGCGCCAATGATGTGAATCCTGGCAACTTTGGTCCGAGTCCGAACCTCCAACGTTGACGATTCTAAGTATCGTCTAGAAGTAACAATCCTTCTTTCCTGAGCTCAATAGCAGAGATTTCAAATACTGGCAAACATGGCAAGGCGATGATGCCTTAGCCTCGTTGCCCGTAGTATCAGCCAATCTAGGCGGCGCTAAAAGAGCTTAGCCAAGCAATATGCTTTCTCCCAAACAGGAGACATGATGTGTTGAATATCGACATCAACATCACCGCTCTTTGATATCTGAATACATAAATGAAGGAACCGAAGGACCGGCTAGATATTGGGTTTTTCCCCCACCTCTAGGCTACACTCTCATTTCAAGACTTCAGGAATCAGAAACTCAAGAGACCATTCCAAGACCTGAAAAAGTCACCACAATGTCTTTCCCTGCTCCCACCAAAATTTACCGTACGCAGCCATATGCCGCAATCTCCCCGTCTCGCCCAGAACTCTCAACCAAAGGGAAAAGCGCCTTTATCTCGGGCGGTGGCGCAGGTATCGGCGCCTCCATCGCCAAATCTCTCGCAAAGTCGGGCATCGCAAGCCTCGGCCTACTAGGACGCACAGTCAAGTCCCTCGAGGAGACAAAGACGGCCGTCGAAGCCCTGAACTCAGAGGCAAAGGTGTTTCTCTACACTGTCGACGTCACAGACGCCAAGGCAACCACCAACGCAGTCGCCTCCTTTGCCAGCTCTGTCAATGGAGGCAAGATCGACATCCTCGTTGCCAACGCAGCTTACATGTCCGACCTCAAGACCATCGCCGACTCCGAACCCGACGACTGGTGGCGGGCTTTCGAAATCTCTGTCCGCGGCAACTTCAACCTCCTCCGCGCATTTCAGCCCGTCGCGAAAACCAATGCTGCGGTGATCCACATCTCCACGGCCGCCATCCATCTCCCCTACATGTTTGGCTTCTCCTCCTACCGCGCCTCCAAGAGCGGTGCGACGAAATTGTTCGAGTACTTCCGCGATGAAAACCCGGGTTTCTTCGTGCTTCAGGTGCACCCAGGCCTCATTGGCGGCACGGTCATGTCGGAGAAGTTTGCGCCGACCGTGGAGGAGTTTGGGCTCACGTACGACGATATTGCCCTGCCCGGGGATTTTGTCGTGTGGGCTCTCAGCGAGGAAGCCAAGTTCTTGAATGGGCGATTTGTCCACGCGAACTGGGATGTCGAGGAGCTGGTGGCGCTGAAGGAGAATCTTGAGAAGGATCAGAGTCGGTTTACGATCGGGTTGCAGGGCTGGTACTAGATCATGTGGAGGCTGGTCATGCCTACTATAAGGTATGCACGGAAGCATCGGTGAAACTCCTTGACCGTATCTAGTTGTCTAAGCGTATCTGTTCATTGAGGAGAAGACCGAGAGTACATGTAGCCACCAAAGCTCGCTGATATGACCTTGGCCAAGACTTTCCACTGAAGTATAGAGCACTTGAGTATAGCAACAAGAAGAAAATAGCAAACACATCACGCCGCCCAAGGATCCTTCGCATTGCTGATACTTAAACCGGATGATACCCCTGCTAAACGACTTTTCGTTACTTCCATGGCTTATTTCTTTGAGAGGAATGTTGACGCGTCTGGCCGTGGATTGAGCAAGGTTGCCTGGTAGCGGATGACTCCGACTCAGGGGTCCAAAATATCTCCTCGAACTCCGGAGGATAGGCGGTTGCTTAGAAAATGTGGTCCAAATCTCCAACACCGCGTTTTCCCACTTGGAGTTATAGATCGCACGCGCTCACCTGCCTTGTGCTCTGGCCCTCTTTGTGTTCTCACGCAATAGCCCGAGGAGGGAAGCTAGCTTTGTCAGGGCTACGTGGTTCTCTCATTCCCATTTCTCCATCAGCGGCTCGCAGTCTTTCATCCGAACGCCGGTAAACTCCCCCTTTTCGTGTTGGCCTATGACGAGGTGGGGCGATCTTCCAAAGTACATCTGGTTCATTGTGTCCCATGCTTCCATTCTTGGCCGGGCCTTGAGCTCCATTATCACGGAGGGGGAAGTTTCTTGGCCCCTGTCAATAGCTCGTATTTCGCTGCTGATCCCGGCTTTCCCGTTAAGAGTGTTCTTCTGGGGGGTACTTTGTATGACGCTGGGTGGTGCTTCAACGTCGGCATCGTTTCCTGTTGCATTCTCCTCCGGCCCATAGTAAGCACCATCGACCTCATGACGCACTAGGCACTTCATCTCGCCGATATTGTACTGGATAACTCTCTGATGTGAGACGGAACTCTCCAGACCCGCGTCGTACCTGGTGAATGCTTCTTCAAATGCATGTCCCCAGCTCTATTCTCCAGGTTTTGGAGACGTTCTGAAGGAATTGTTCTCCTTGCGCCAAGCGATGAAGAGCGTGGTGTTGACCAAGTCTAACTCGACCCTAAAGGACTTTTGGCTTTTGCCTCTGGCAAAATCAAGAAGGTCTTGCAACCCACCCCGGCTGATGACGATGTCCGCATCACCAAAGTTGGCTGACGGATTCATGATGCTGGCAGCTCTCATCATTGGCTCGAATGGCATCACAGGGTTCCTGTATACGTTGTGGTCGTTCTACTGGATTTCGTGGTCGTGGTCCAGTCTGATAGGAAGCGAAGGCTTCTTTCTTGTATTTGGCAGCTGCGCCTAATTTGTTTGCATGATTAGTTTAGAAGTCTGGTCAGACTCAACAAGAGAGTTGCTTACCAGGTACAAAGATCGTCGGGTCAAAGACGTTTGACCAATTTTATGAGCACACCACAGAGAAGTCACTGACAGCCGAGGCCATTGGCCCTTCAATAGACTCAATGAGTTGATTGGAAACAGTGCCAAACTGCTTAAAGCTGCAACATACAGCCATTCAGCCTTTTTCTTCGAGCTGCGCTCGACGCGTTTCGCAATGCCGTCGACATCTATCTCCCAGAACGGATTCTTGGGTCTCTGCGTTTCCCTCTTGAAAGGTGCCTCTGCAGCGAAATTTCTGTGGATGTCTTGTCTCGCATCGTTCTTGATTTGCTTTGGTGGGAATTCTGGGAGAATGATGCTTCTCAGAGGGGATCACCTCCGGAGTTTAAGGCAAAAATGACGGACGAAAGACTCGTGCCTCTGGACTCATGCCGGAGGTCTTCTGCCTCATCATGTTTGACTGATTCATGTCTTATGGGATGGAAGCACATCGAAGCAAGGCTGACTTTGGGTGCGATGTCAGAATACCAGACAACAACCGTAGACGTCAAATTCATGGTTTTGAGAGCTCCACGGCACAAAATTACAATTGAGGCTTGTGAATATCAGTACACTGCACTTAGAACACATGTCTATATAGAGAAAATCGGACATTAGGATGGATTTATGATTGCGAGGGGATTGACACACGAAGGGGGCCGAAGACAAGAACTATTCAGACGAGGTCGTTTTTCACTCTCCATGGTCAGCTGACACACACTCAAAGCACGTGACGGCGTAGCTAGTGTCGAAAAGATATCGAACACCTGATTCGAGTGGGTTTCTGAGACTTGGGGCATGAAGTTGCAAGCGTCGAGATGGAAACCTTGAACGAATACTGCGTCATGCTCTTTCTCTGACTATCACCAGAAGTGGAATGCGGATAAAAGGAGGCTGAGGAAAGGGGCCCACTGCACAGGAGAGATGAAATAGACTTTTCCTATCCAGTAAGTAGTCCACTTATCCTAAGAGTTCGGCCAATAGAAGCCTTGCTTTATCAAGGTCGCCCCAACTCTGGCAACAGCATGAAGTTCTCTAGGTTATTGATATGAATTTCCGCGACGCATCTAATACTCCGCTATGGTTGGTAGAAATAAGTAGACAATTGCGGCCGTTACTTTGGCTGGAGACTGGATTACTGCTATGGGTCAGAACGCCGAGACAAGTGGGTGGGGTATCCGATCTAAGTCAAAAGCCACCTCCCGAATAGTCGAGCTCCGGATGAAAAGACCGAGAGGAAGCCACTACGACTATCGGAAGGACCTTGAAAGAAACTGGGACCGTCCGCAATCCGAGAATGATGCTTTAAGGTTGACAGTTTCCTGTATACACATCACGGAAATGGCCCGCACTTGATCTCGTACCAATATCTGGCCCGACACGAAGCCCCCTATCCTATTCCATCGAGTCCTACACCTTTAGCCATTTCGTAAAATAATTCATTGAATGAATATCTTGTTTGGTTTCGAAAAATGTTCGGCAAGTTGGATCCTCAGATGCCACCTTAGTGTGATGACATAGGATCCAAACCCATGTCCAGGGAGCTGGCTGCGAGTCCAGAGCCGTTGGGATGACGGTGGTGGAGCCAAGACATCATTCAGCCTCCCGGATGCGGCCCGCCAACGGGGCTCAAAGGCAAAAGATTCCCCAACCGGCGACTCCCCGCAGTGATCAGCTGGTCCACTATCACAATATGCGGTATGAGGCGCCCGTGTATTTGGCTCTCTGGATACTGAAGACCCCTTGGCGGAGACGAAAGCGTACCTCTCCATTGTCCGAGGTGACGAGAATTCGGACCTCCTGCTTCTGCACTCAACACTTCAGAATACTCCATAACTGTCATTGGGAAGATACTTGGCATCTTGTAAATCTATAAGAACCCTTTTCTCTTCTCCTAAGTTGACTGAACAACTCCTAAAATCATCACAGTACGCTCAGCCGACTTAGCAGCTCCATTTCCATTCCTCAGCGCCTTTAATCCTTCGACAGGAAAAAACATCCTTTTCCCCCAATATGAAGGCATCAACTGTTATCCTCGGGTTTTTCTCCTCCCTCGTCATTGCCGCTCCAACTACACCCGCGGGCTCCAATCTTGTTGAAAGACTCTCCATTCTTGCCCCGGTCTGTCAAGGAACTCCAGTATGCTGCTCGGCTGATGTCATCAGCGGCGTGGTGTCTTCAAACTGCGTAGCACGTAAGATATCCAAATCGATCCTTGATTACAGGAGCCCAGCGTGAGTCTTTTCAAGCTGACCAATGAGCACAGCTGTCACGCCTCCAATCACCACACTCGGATTTCAAGCTGCCTGCCTGCTCGATGGGAATCGCATTGCCCGATGCTGCTCTCTCAGCGTTGTAAGTGTCCTTACAGTGGCCCTGACTCTGTGCTGTGGCTAACCTCCAAACACTAGATCGGTTTGGCAGTCCTCTGCAAGGCGCCTGGCACCTAAGGAGCTCTCTGAATATCTTGCCACCTCTTTGACATTTCCGAGAACATTGTGCTCCGACAAACGATTCCATTATTACTTAGAATCTTTAATAATTGCTACTTGTCATTTCCATCCACGGTTTCCAAGCCTTGTTGCATCGTATCCCATGCGCGCAACATCATATGTGGTATCATGATGCTTCACGATTATTGGCTGTCTGCGATGTTCGGCGATCCAGTCCTAATTAAGCCCTTGAATATTGGTTTGCATTGGAATTCGGGGCTCTGTGACACTGGAGATACCGCATCCAGAGGTGTCTCCAGTGTACATACTTTCCAGCATCATTCTATGGGTGGACCATGACCAGTTAGTACATATATGGACCTTTGGTTGGCGAATAGAAGTCACCGTGTACTGGTTTCTATCGGTGCTTGTTCAGTACAGTTATTTTTTCTTCTCTTTTTTTTTCGATTGCACATGTAACATCATCTTTGCCGAGACGAGAGCAGGTTACAGCCAAATTCTCAGAGGTACACATAATTCATCTAGAATGCTCGGGCTGGGTTGAAAGTTCCTGGAGGCTCACCGCCTCATGCTAGCTCGACTAATGATCAGAAATGGGACCTGTAGTTACAGGGTTGCTCTTCACTCCTGACCACGAGATGTTTGACCCAAATGAGCGAGGCGCCGATCTAGAGGGAGACTCGGTGATACTCGGACACGGAGCCGGAAGATCCAGAGCGGGGCCGGGCAGTTATAGTCGGACGTCCCGGTGTTTAATCCCATTCTGGTCAATTTACTACTCGCTGAAGAGATGCAGCCCAAAGCTGGACGTTGGAATAGACTGTTTTCTCACATAATGCCGATCTGAAAGGGCTTCTTTGTTTCTCAATCTCAACGTCTAGTCCATCGCTGCTGAGTCGTCGTCCGCCCTTATCCCGGCGGATGGCGAGCTGTGGGGTTCCGGAACCCGCTTGAGATGTCGCCATCGCACCCATGTAAGCACGACGCGATGTCGGACACAATACCGACCCCATCCATGGTCAAAGGCTCCATCCAATCCACGTTTTCCCTTCGCATGTGCGCCGACGAACCGCGCCCGCGCCGGCGGCCTGCATCAGGGATAGGTCGTCCGACGATGAGCGTTGCCCAGGATTGCCTCATTACGATTTACAATAACGCCACGCGAACCAAGCTTATTCCAGCCCATTGGCAGCCGGCCCCAACCAATCTGGATTGGACTCGGTATCTGACGAGCTGCAGAGCCCAGAAACCGGGGTGGGGGGTTCCCAAGGAGCAGACTCAAAGGAAAAAATCAGACTGGTGCTACATCACGGAGGTTGCCCGCTTGGGGAGTTCTCTATGTAGAGGGAGGAATGAATATCCCGCAGGACAACAAGGGTAGAGCGATGCAGAGACCGAAGAAATCGGCAATTTCTTAAAAGCTCGACATCGAACGGACCCCATTTCCTCCCGCACTTGCATGACCTTTATCCATTGCGTCGGGATCGGAAAAGCAACATCAGCTGCAATGTCGTCAATCGATCAAGCAAAGCAACCACATGAGGTCGATGAGGAGGTCCAGGATGTTCAACCTACGAAGCCCGTGTCGCGATTTACTCGCTGGTACCGCTCGCCTTTGTTCAACGTCATCCTTGTAGGCTTGATCTCCTTCACTCAACCTGGTATTTGGAATGCCCTCAACAGTATGCGATATCCCTAGACCTGAGAGAAATCACAGACTGACCAAAAACTCAAGGTACCGGCGCTGGTGGCCAGCAAGAGCCTTATCTCGTCAATGGCTCCAACTCACTCACCTTTGGCATCATGGTCTTCGGCTGCAGTTTCTTCGCCATCATGGCCAATAAGATCGGGTTGAAGACGGTTCTGATCATCGGTACCCTTGGATACGCACCCTACTCGGCATCCATGTACGTCAACAACCGTTACGGTGTAGAGTGGTTCGTGCTGTTTGGTGGCGCTACCTGTGGCATCGCAGCATCTGCGTTATGGGCAGCTGAAGGTGCCATTGCCTTGGGATACGCCGACATCAAAGATAGAGGCAAGTTCACTGGTATCTGGCTTGGTCTGCGTGAGCTCGGACAGCTTCTCGGCGCTGCCATCCAGCTCTCGCTGAACGTCAAGGAGAATCAGCGCGGAAAGGTCGGATATTCGACCTACCTGGTCTTGATCGCCCTTCAATGCCTCGGTCTTCCCTTGGCGTTGCTCGTGTCTCCCCCTCAGAAAGTCATTCACAGCGATGGCAGGAAGGTTGCCGACCCTACTAAGAACAAGGCTGTCCTGGGAGAGTTCCGCAAGTGGCTGAAGCTGCTCAAGAAGAAGCAGTTCTACCTTTTGATTCCCATCCTCGTCGGTTTCAACTGGAACAGCACGTACCAGGGCATCTACTTGACCAAGTACTTCTCGGTCAGAGCGAGAACCCTTGGCGCCTTGACATCTGGTATTGCTGCATCTGCTGCTAACATCTTCTGGGGCTGGTTCTACGACCTGAAGTGCTTTAGTCGACCCCAGCTCGCCAAGATTACCTGGTCCTGCTTCTCAGTCATCATGCTGGGCTTGTTCGCATGGCAAGTTGCCAACGAGAAGCTTTATGAGGACACTGTTCCCAAAGTTACCCTCGATTGGAGCACCCCTGGATTCGGACGTGGATTTGCAGTCAATGTACTCTTCCGGTAAGTGCAATGATGTTCCGTACCTTATTGATCTTTTCAAGTCAGTACTAACAACTCACAGCTTCATGAACGAGTCGCACTACATGTTTGTGTACTGGATCATGGGTACCTTCTTTGACGATATCGAGACTCTAACACTCGGCGTTGGTCTTGTCCGATCGTTCGAGTCCATTGGCTCCTGCCTAGCCTTCGGTATTGGTGCCGTCAAGGTTTCGCCAATGGTAAATCTCATCGTTGCCTTTGTCATGTTTGTGGTCTGCGTCCCTGCGACATCGTGGGCCGTTCTGCTTGTGCCAGAGCGACCTGTCGACAACACGAAACTAGAGGCGGAGGACTCTGCTGTCGAAGACAACAAAGTAGCCGCGACCCCGGTGGATGTGACTACGACAGCGGCCGCTGTCGATGGTCCTCGGAATGTTTAAGACACTACGATGGCATATGTTCATGACTTTTAGCATCAGGCACAGCCACTAGTTGCCTGAAGTAAGGTATATAGTCCAGCCATGCCAGACTATAGGCAATGAGAATTGAATAAGACCGTCTTTAATGTTTATGAATATGTGCTGTTGTATATGATGCTTGCTATCCTTGTCTCGTTACTTGTTCTTGCTGATCGAACTATTTACATCGTGAGACTGAATATGGACATAAGAATTGATGGAACTGTGCATGTCAGATTTTTGGCTCCCATGCAGCCCTCAAACTCGTCTGAGCTCGACATCGTACTTAGATAGAAGCCTTGTCAAGATTCTCGGTGAAGTTCTCGTCCTTGAAAGGCACATTGGCACTGCCAAAGTCGGTGTTGTTGAGAGCAGTTTGCATGTTCGTCGACATAGCGTCCCATTCAAGGACAGGGTATGTCTTGCCCGTGGTATCAGTGAACTGAAGCTCATGGTTCAGTAACAGCTGTGTGAAGTATTCCACCTTCACACCATCACCCTCCCGTTGCGGATTAGTCGACTTCTTGTAGTCGCCGTGACCGGAAGCAGCTCCACCCAGAATCGTCGGGTCCGCAACAGAGGGGTTGTTGAGCCAAACCACCACGCTCTCCCAGTCGTGTCTGTGTGAGCCGGTGGAGACGCCATCGTTTGGCATGTCTTTGGGGAAGTACCAAGCATACATGATGGCGTACTTGTCGTTGTGCCATGTGCCTCTGGCGTAGGTCTGGCCCTTGCTGGTGTCTCTGCAGCCTCCAGTAGAGCTGCCGCTGGGTTTCAGGCCACCGCTGATTTAATCGTCAACCTTTTATCATTGTGGAAAACTCCTTGGACACGCACCTTGTGTCTCCGGCATCATCAACAGCAGTGTATGGCTGGCACCCATGAGCGATGTGGAGGAGCGGGTTGAATCGTGCGATGGCTTTGCCGACAGCGTTATCCTGAACTTTCTGGGCGAGAGGACTAAGAGCGTCGTGGCCAACTTCTCCGCGAGGGTCTAAAACAGTGGCAACGGGAGCGGCAAAGGCACTGCTCAGGAGGCTGAGAAAAGGAAGGAAGGCGGTAGAACGCATGTTGCAACGAATGACTACGGCTTGATGTTAGTGATAATCTTTTCGGCCCTCAATGAACGGTCATCATACCAGTAACGAATGAACTAGCTGAAGTGAATGCTGGCAATGAAGACCTGCTTCCCTGGTTGCCGTCTATGACCTATGGTGAAATGAAGTTGATGAAAGTAAGTTGGCACAAACAGCAACAAGGACAGGGAAAAGGGCGGCTTTTGAAACCGACTCGATCCAAGAAAGTGTCAAACTCGGGCTAGGCTAGATCCAATTTCCAGTGGATTGGAGAATCGCATGAGTTAATCCTGACTGCAGGTCCGCAGCACGCGCGCGGCGTTCGGAAACCTGATCGGGTCCGAAGTCTACAACATACAGGGGTCATGACAAATGAGACGAACCACTGGTGCTATCAAAAGATCAGTGAATGCTACCATTTGACATCAGTCAAATGAGGTTGGGGTGATCTGGCCTCGAAAGCCGCCAAACCGGAACCGAGGCTGATTACCTGCGTCTTCCGCTGGGCATATTGCTTGCCACACCAAGCCCTATAGCTAAACCTTGATGTGGTTCTTGAAGCTGTCCAATGTCCAGAATTAGCGACGCCTAGGCTGGCGGGCTGAGAACCTTCATTTAGCTGCGGCTTTCTGTGTGGGCCCGTTGGTGTCGACCGAGTCAGTCCAAGGTTACACTCTTCCCCGTGTCCATGATTGATAACCCAGCCTTCACCACCGTTTTGGTCCAATTTGGTCCACAACTTTCAACCTGTTACTGGACGACTGCCAAGTATCCCGTCGCCTGCTTGATTGGGGGGCACAAGGAGATCCGAGTTGTCCGTGCCAAGAAGGCTCCATCCGCCTGACCATCGTGGTCCTCGCGTGGTTCTCCAGAAGGTTAAAGGCGTCTATCTTTGTTGCTAGTCATGATATCAAAGCATTGACGCACCGCCTTGTTTTCCGATCCGCAAAGCCATGGGCCCACTTCTTTGCCTGACTGCTCGGGATGGGATGGCGACTTTCAGCATGCAATATTTCAGGGCTTTGACAAGTCACTCAAAAGGTTTGGGTTGATCTCCTACAACAAACTGCAACTAGCACAAAATGCGTATTGAGAAGGAGTCCATTCTCCTACGCGATTCTAATTCAATCCAAAACTTCTTTCAAAATCCTTTGCTTCCTTGCCAATCGGTTGAATCAAGGTATAGCTCCCGGACTTATTGAACTCTTGCACCCCGTTGAGTAGGTAAAGCGGAGTCATCTGCCCATCATCGCTGAAATACAACTTTGGTCTCTCCCGGCGATAGTAGTCTAACTTGACACCGTCGGTGAACTCAACGGTTGTGTTGTACGTCAAGGTATTATTGTTGTAAATCCAAGGGCCCTCCCAATTGCGAGCATAAGCATGTGCTCCGACTCGCGGCCCTTTTCTGCCTTCCGCGATATCGACCATGTGGTGGACCAGAATGTGCCAGTGTCCTCGTTTATCTCTCCAAAGGAATGGATCTTCACTGCGCTCCGTGTTTCGCGGTTCAACAACAAGCTCATGGGGTGCAGAGAAGTTGTCTGCGTGGTAAATATTGTTCTTCTCCACAGCGAGTAGGATCTCGTGCGTAGGGTCCTCATCCGTCCACAGCGGCCACGGTGCAGGGTTCGTGACGTTGATAACCTGCGGGATTGGTGTCGTCCATTCCCTAAGATTCGGCGACGAGGAAACCGAGATCGTATTGTTCCACTTCTGGGATTTGCAAACGTCACCAACCTCGACGTCTTTGCCGATAAAATAGATCAAGAACTTTTCATCCGCTGGGCTCCAAATAGTTGTAGGATTGTGGTGGAAAGTGCTGAATAATGTTTGGGCGTAATTATACGGGCCTCTCGGCCCTGTGCGAGATTCGGCTCTAATTATGGTGCTGAAAGGCCGCCAACCAGAGAGACCACAGCCGTGTGACATTTGCGACGTAATGAGATGGAAGAGACCCTTGTCTTCGCGATCTTGGATGATGTGACCTCCCCAGGAAGAGTTTCCGGCGCCCTCCTTGTAGAAGTCTGATCCTGTCGCGTTCGTGTGATTGTACCCGGTCCAAGGCTCGACTGGCTGCAAATCCAGTTCGCTACAGTCGGAAGAACGCCATCCTTTGTCACAGACACAGGAGGAGTTTTGATCGCAAAGGCCGTTGAGACTGCAGTCGTCATCCGTTCGACATCCAATAACTCCAACCAAGAGGCTGGAGAAATAGCCAAACACAACAAGGCTCAAGAAAGCTCTCATACCTCAGTAATTTTGGCTTCTTTGTTGATTCACTGCTATTTTTATGTTTTCCACGAAATCGACGCTGGGAAAAGTGCAAGACAAATCCCTCTTGTATGCGCGACATATCTAACTGCAGCCGCTTAGCGAATTTCCAAGATCGACGGGATGAATTCTCGGCTCGTCGTAGATCTATCCGAATTGCGCAGGTCTCCATCTAGGAGACCGGCGGAAGAATTGAGATCCTCGAATCTGCGTCGGCTTCTCCGCATTTCCCCGCGAACAACACCTGCCCCCATCATACCGCAGCAACCATTCTGTACATGTACTGATCAAGGCAACTCAACATAATCCGGCTTTCAGATCACTCTAAAACCTGCGACTCCAACACCAGTGGGAGAATTATATGACATCTTGCTAGCTTCAACAACATACAGGCCGCGGTCGTGCTGTGGTGCCACTCCTGTTTTGACAGAAATGAGGAGGAGACTCTTAGCTAACCACCCCTAAGGCAAGTTGAGAGCTTGAGGTACACAGCGGAGCCCCACATACAATTGCCCTATCATGCTGGTTCACTTGCGTATCAACACATCGCTCATATTGAGCCTTTGTATGATATGAGGGGGTGGGGGTTTCGAACTGATGAAAGACGATGAGTAATTATGGCAGTAAAGTAAGTAAGGCACCGGTCATCTTGAACAGAAATTATGTCCATCCACGCCGATGTGGCCCGAATCCTCCCTGCTACCTAGCAAATATCCAGGGTCGCTTGGCCTCTGCAATTTGCAGTCGTGGTGACCTTGGGACTCTCCTGGCCCTTTTCAACACCCTTATACTCCTGGCAGACCTTAGCGACACCGGTACCGCAGGACCCAGATATTGTTGCAACATCTCCAAAGTTTGAGTTGATGCCGGCAAGTAATTTGACATTATTGGCCTTCAAGTTGGTTACTACCAAATTCCTCGGACCGCCGTTGTTCACACAGTTGGCGCATGAACGGTAAAGACGATTCACACCGATGACCGTAAAATCTTTGACTGTCGCTGTTCCTCGGCCTAAGTGCGAGATCGTGTTACCGTAACCTCCGCGGACACCACCTCCCTCGACGAGGATATCGCAATTGCCATTGATCACTATGGCATCTGTATCATCGCGTAGAGGTCAGCCTTCGTTCTCTCGAAACTCACTTTGCCATGGTCCAGTCCACGTAGACAACATCTCACCTTCACAGACCTGTCGGAACCAGACATTCTTCAGCGTGCAAGCACCTTTACAATGGACTCCTTCAACCTGGCCGGCACCGATAATGACGTTGCTGATAGTGGCGCCATTTTCAAGTATGAAGACGGGGTGCCCGCCTGGAGTCTCAACATCGGTATTGCATGAGCGTCCGCGATCGTACTCCTTATTGCCAAAATCCCTAGACCCAGATATCACACTCGGCGCCGGTAGTGAGATGATGGAACCGCTTCGGCTGGGAATATTGAGTGTTTGACAGGCAACGAGACCAGCAAGGAGCGCCGCTGGCAGTGTGTTGGAGATGAACATAGTGAATCAAAGTTCGAAGGGATGTCCGGTCGAGCAATAAAGAAAGGCTCGCCTGTCTGGCATATAGAGCCACCTGGATAATATAGATGTAGATTTCAAGTGGAGTCTATCCCTGTTTGGTCTACTTG